TTCTAATTTATTGATTTCAGACCTCAAATTGATTATTTCTTGGCCTCTACTCCTCCGGAGTGAGTCTGCTTCTTTTTGTTCTGTTGTGCTGTTAATTCTCTAATGTGACTATCCTCTGTTTTCTTCATGTGGGCACTTAGTTCTTTCAAAGTGCCCCATAAGGTTGGGTATGTTGTGTCTTCATTCTCGTTGAATTCTAGAAAGTCTTTAACTTCTTTTTTTCTTTCTTCCTTGACCCAGGAATGGTGCAATTGGTGCAATTGTGCATTGTTTAGTTTCCATGAGTTTATAGGGTTTGTGCAATTTGTGTTGTTGTTGAATTCTAACTTTAAAGCATGGTGGTTTGATAAGATACAGGAGTTATTCCAAATTTTTTTTTTTTTAATCTGTGGGATTTGCTATGTGACAAAAAAAAAAAAAAAAAAAAAAAAAAACAAAAAACACTCTACCAAGGAACTCCTATAGCTGATAAACACCTTCAGCAAAGTAGTAGGATACAAAATTAATTTTAAAAAAAAATCAGTAGTCCTACTATATACAGTGGAAAAATTGGCTGAGAAAGAAATCAGAGAAACATCACCCTTTACAATAGCAACAAACAACATAAAATATCTTGGGATAACACTTACCAAACAAGTGAAAGAACATGTATAGCGAGAACTTTGAGTCTTTCAAAATAGAAACTAAAGAAGATACCAGAAAATGGAAAGATCTCTCATGCTTTTGAATAGGTAGGATCAACATAGTAAAAATGGCAATCTTGACAAAAGCAATCCACAGATTCAATGCAATCTCCATCAAAATCCCAGCACAATTCTTCACAGACCATGAAAGGACAATACTGAACTTTATATGGAAAAACAAAAGACCCAAGATAACCAAAACTTCTCTGTACAATAAAGGAACTTCAGGAGGCATCACCATCCCTGACTTCAAGCTCTATTATAGAGCTATAGTCCTGAAACAGCTTGGTATTGGCACAAAAATAGACAGGTAGACCAAAGGAATCGAATTGAAAACCCTGATATTAACCCACACACCTGTGAACACCTGATTTTTGTCAAAGCAGCTAAAATTATACAATGGAAAAAGAAAGCTTCTTCAACAAATGGTGCTGGCATAACTAGATGCTGGCGTGTAGAAGACTGTAGATAGATCCATATCTATTGCCATGTACAAAACTTAAGTCCAAATGGATGAAAGACCTCAACATTAAATCCAACCACACTGAACCTCTTAGAAGAGAAAGTAGGAGGTACCCTTGAAGGAACTGGTACAGGAGACCGCTTCCTGAGCATAACACCAATAGCACAGACACTGAGAGCAACAATTAATAAATGGGACCTCCTGAAACTGAGAAGCTTTTGTAAGGCAAGGGACACAGTCAACAAGACAAAACGGCAGCCCAAATAAAGCCTAAAGCTGAAATCAAAGTGTTGTGTTGGCTGTATGGAACAGGCATTTAATCCCAGCACTCAGCAGATAGCAGATCTTTGTGAGTTTGAGGCCAACCTGGCCTACACAGTGAGTTTCAGACAGGTCTACATAGTAAAACCCTGTATCAAAAACAAAACAAAAAACCACATACCATATTGATATACTCTATATTCTCAAATTACTCAAAATGACTATATTATAGTTGTCCCTTCACATAAAAATGCTACAGTTTCCACTGCTATTACCAACACAATTAACTAAGAATGTCATCAGAGCAGACTTACAGATTTTAATATTTTCTAGCATATTCAACAGTACTGAATATTGATTGTATCTAACAAGTTCTAGTATACTTGGTAATGAGAAGCCCTTACTCTGTGCTACCTAGATGGTTCATATGGTAAAGGCACTTACCAGCAAGCTGGATGACTGAATGCAATCTTGAGGACCCACATAGCAGAAAAATAGAGCCTACTCCTGATCCTCACACCCAGGCTAAGGCAGACCTGCACCCCTGTTGTGGAATATTTGTCCATCCACACTGATCCTCCGAGGTTGTTAATAAATTTTACCTCGAATCAGAGGACATGTGTCAGTGACTGGCTGACTGGAAATAGCCATAGAGGTTTTGGAGGACCCAGATGGGGGACCCAGGAAGATATAGGGAGGGGCTTAGAGGAGTCCTCAGCCCTCCCAATCTGGTAAGTGTGGAGAGTTAGGGTCAGCTGATCATTCCTCTGTCACTCTTTGGATCTATCAGGCTTTTATCCCAATATCTGACTCTCAAGTTTTCATTGATATTAGGATAACTTAAATAAACCGGTCACAGCCCTCTGAAATACATGCAATAAATAAATAAAATGTAATTCTGTTTAAATAAAAAAGAAGCATGCGCTCTCCGATAAGTAGTCGCAGCTGGAAGGGACACAGATGGTTTGTCACCTCTCTATTGCCCCCATGCTTTTTCTTGATATTCCTTGCAGGTTATTTTAAGAAACATAATGTGGATGTTCTATTTTTTGCTGATGCCTGAATTTTCAAGCCTAAATGCCACTGAGATGAAATGATGCATATACCTATAGGAGAATATCTTTCCTGGGTAAGGGTGGATACTACTCAGGTTTATAGAAGTGTAAGATAAGGTTTTAACACATCCAAATGATATCACAACCAAAAAGGACTGAAGGTCAGTGGCTATCAACTCTAGCTGTGAATCGGAACCACTCAAGGGGCTTAGAGAGAACAGACTCATAGCCCTCCTAAGCAGCAGCGCTGCCCCACACTGACTGGATGAACGTGCCTTTGTAGCAGTGTCTTGGTGATTTTGACACCTAGTCAGGCATTTTGAAAGCATGATTCTAATACTATGCTCTTTAAACAGAATTAGATTCAAGTGGTCTCTGTCGTCAAATATACCATCAAATTACCAGGCACACAGAAGGTCACAGACCAGAGTTTTCTGCTAGAGATTAGGTGGGAAAGTGGATATGAAAAGCAGCTCATTGGCGGACGGAGAGCCCCACAGTTAGAAAGCAGTAAGCCCAGCTCTTATTTGGCCCTGATCTCAGCATAGCAAATAAAATCACGCACAATGACCAGTTTCACAAGATCACGCCGCAAACATCCAGGCGCATGTGCAGGTACAGTTGCCATATATCATGCAAAATGTAACAGCTGCCCCCACTCTACCGCCTTCATTTGTTATCTGAGTGTGCCATCGGAGTATTTCACCACACTGCTTTTTAAAAAGCACACTGTCTGTTGAGATCCTTAAAGCCCAGATGAGGAGCAATATAGGCACCGTTATTGATCCTACTTTCCACCCCCTCTCCCAGAAAAAAGGCTTCTGGCTGGCTTCAACATTTCTTAAATCTGTCTTTACCAGAGTTCAATTATTGTTCCAAGTAAGTTTTCAAATAAGAGAGTGTGTGATGGTGCCTATTGCGTCACCATTTTAGAATTTGGTTACTCCCAGGAGGGAGAGGGAGGAATAATAAGAATTATTGAGTTGTGTCTGTGTTTGCTTTGTTTATATAATCTCTAAACACAAAATCTTAATTACCTTATCATCCTGGTCTATTTGTGAGGGCATAGAATGTTGTGTGATTATCCCTAATGGCCAATATAGTATCACTTATCAGATACATGATTTGTTGGAAAATTATGCAAATTAAAATCATTAGCCCCGGAGGGTGATGGTCCAGATCATTCCATGGCCCCTGTTCTCCTTCCCAGGAGTGTGAACCACACAGGGGGTGTAAGATGGTGCTGATTCCGCTTAGACTGGAGAGCGTTGTAGGGACTGAAGGGGCTGTCGTCGGCAGTGGACAGAGTGTCTGTGCATTTCTGCAGTAAACCGCACAAGGATATCCACCCCAAAAGCATTGACGTGTTTAAGCACACAGGACAAAGGGTGCAAGAGACTTAACAAACCCAGCTCACATATGCATACAGACGACAACCCTCCCCCACCTCCCTTTTCTAATGCTGTGCTTGAATTATTGATCAAAAGGTACGGATTCAGAATTGGGGCTGGAGTTGCAACCTTCATGCATAGCCTCACTTACCTAATCTATTTCTTTCTTTTTACACTGTTCCCTTAGTGGCTAATGTAAACTTGTGAATTAGTTTTTCTTTTGACTTTCTTGAGAATCAGCCTAAGGCAGTGATAGGTTAAAAAAAAAAAAAATAGAGGAGATGATATGCAAGTAGAGTAGGCTGCAGCTCAGCTCATCCTCAGCGCAGTGGTAGTAAAGAGGTAGCAGTTGAGGGGCCAGGTGGAGATGGGGGTTTCTCACATGAGCTGCCAGCCCTGCCCTGCCCCGCCCCGCCCCGCCCCGCCCCGCCCCGCCCCGCCCCGCCCCGCCCCGCCCCGCCCCGCCCTCTCCAAGGAGAGGTCCTTCGTGGAGAAGTCAGTCTCCTGCTGTGCCTAGCTTCCCTTGTGTGGCCATGTCTGCAGTTTGAAGGGAAGACCATGTGTGGCTTCTGGTTGGCCTGTGGGTACTTCAAATAAATATTCCCTTTCTAACTCATTAGCAAAGCGTCTGAGAGCTTGAGAATGCCCTTTAAATGCTAAAGGTAGCTCTGATCTGCAGCAGTACACACTGTAAATGGCCAGTGCATCCTTACAAAGAGTTAAGCACATGAAGCCAAACCATCCGACACGGGGCTTTCTTTTCACTCTTTCCCCCAAGCCCTGGTCACCCTCTGCCTATACTGATGTAGTGAGACCGGATTCTTTCCCGAAACCTGTTTGCTTCTGTCCTTGAGTCCGCTGTCCTCTTGAGAGCAGACTGTGCTGTGTGCAGCATCATCTTGTTGCTTGGCGTGGCTCCTGTTGCAAATGCTTCTCAGTACACATGCATTCTGTCTGTAAGCATAGTTCCAAAGCCGCATCAAATAGAAACCTGGGTGACATATTTGAGATTTTGAAAAGGAAATACCTTTTTTGTGTTCACAGACTGGAAGAGATCCGAATTTATTATGAAAATCCTGTGACAATCTCTCACGTTCTTGCCTTCAAATTAATGCTTAAAATGATGCTTTCTTTCCTTTTAATCTAGAACTGAACAACGCCACAAAGACCTTCTTTACCAAGGAATATTTGAAAATCAAACAAAGCTTTCAGAAATCCAGCTCCGCCAAGTGGCCCTTGCCAAGCTGCAGAAAAGGGTTCCATCTCTTTGGAGGTAAGAAAACCAGTCCAGCAACAAAAGCAGTTGGTCTGTCCACACACCATCTCACAGCTACTTCCTACTCAGAGATGTCGGTAGGTGTGTGTGTGTATACTTTTTTCTTATTTTACATATCAATCCCAGTTCTCTCTCCCACCCTGCTTCCCATGCCCCCCGACCATCCTCCCATCCCATTCCTCCGGACACTCCACAGGGAGGGTGATGCCTTCCAGGAGGGATCATCAAAATCTGTCAAGTCATTTGGAGTAGGGTCTACCCTCCCCCCATCTGCCTCTAGGCTTGAATTCTATGTCTACACTGGTCACTTTCAAGAATTTTGATGGTAATCCCTTGGCTGAATGCTACAAGTATATTTGAAGAAATGGAATACTATATATGAAAAGTAAATTGGAAAGACACCATGATTGAATTGATTTTGCCTGGGGACAGCAGTGGAGTAAGATGGTAGATGAGACCAGTCGATAGCAAGGTGCTATATATTTCAGCGACCTAAGAGGAGGCATTTCACATGCTTTTAAACACATGCCATAAAGGAATGGCAAATGTTTGAGGTGAATATATGTTTAACTTGATTTGAATACTACATAATATTAGTATGTATATTATACATACTAATGTTAGTATGTATAATATACATTAATATGTATAATTTTTGTTTTACCTATCTGTTAAAATACATTTAATTAAAAACAAATTGACTTTTCAACAGGTATCTAATTTGACAAAAGCTGTGTTTAGTAAAAGCATAGTATACTAGAAAAAGATTAGTAATTCACTTATTAACATACACTAAATGTATCTAGTTTTCATATCTTGTGATTGTACCTTTAGATTAAGAAAAATAAAAAGAGACAAACCTCTATGCATAGCTTCGTAGAGATGCACTATACTCTGGGAATATCAGTTTCTGGGTTCAGGTCTAAATAACATGACCTTAAGGATGCCATGTAAACCTCTTTTTTTTGGATCTGTAAGGTGAGAATAATTTGCTCTATTGTACCTAATTGATAGGGATATGGTAAAGATCAAATAAGCTAATGTGAAAGTACAATATAAATTTATGGATAATGGCAATAAATATACAACTGTCAAAATGCAAAACAAAACAATCTCTGAACTTTACTTCAGTTTTGAGACGTGTTACTGTGTGACCATGAAATGTAATTTCATATTTTTTAGGACTGTTATTTTCCAGAACATGAACTGCCATTCCAGTGTGTTATTTACTATATTTGTTTGGGGGGGCGTGCATGTGTGTGCACCTGTGTGTGCGGACGCACTCACACATGCTTATATGCGGGCAGAGGTCAATGTCAGGTGTCTCCCTCTCTCTCAGCCAAGGTGTCTCAGTGAGCCTTGAACTCGCTGTTTTGGGTAGTCTGGCTTGCCAGTGAAGCCCTGGGATCATCTTCTCCCTTCCCACAGTCCTGGAGCTAACAATGCACACTGCTGGAACTGGCTTTCAGTCCTTCATGCTTCTGCAGCAGTCACTTTACCCCCCAGCCCTGTATTTACCATTTATGATGTCATGAGGGAAAGTCCAGATGTGGGAACCATGTTCTCTAGGGACCAGGAAGAGTTGTGCGAGCTCAGCTACATCAATCCAGCAGTGACAGACCACAGCAGACGCATGCAGAGTGTGTATGATAGATGCAAAAACCAAACTGTGCACAAAATCCCTTGCATTTAAAGTGAAGATGTTAAATACCAACTATATACTGTGCTTTGAGTAAAGAAAGTAGCTTCAAGATATCACATAAGTATATACTTCTGTATGATGTGGTATTAACTAAAAGTTCATTATCTTGGTACTCGGTATAGGTAGTTTGTAAACATTGCATTTAGTCTAAAACTAAGAGATAATCAAATCTAAGAGGAAGCATCATTAAAGTATTTCATAGCCCAAAAGTTAAAAATTCATAACTTAGCTTATGGCTTTCAAAGTGTCCCCTTATATTCTACTTTCTATCTGCCCAGCACATTCTCTTTTATTTTTGAGACAGAATATTTCTTGGTAGTTCAAGATGGCCTTGAACTTGGGACCCTTCTGCCCCGGCCTCCTGAGGCCTGTGATTACAGAGACCTCCCTCCACATGTGGTCTTACACCAGCATTTTAGAAGACCACAGCCCTCTACTGGCTGTAACCCTGTACTTCCCTGATTGCCTTCTCCCATTCCGAGGTCATCATGAAAGCAGGTGCTTATCTTTCTGCCTTATTTTTGCTTCCATGGGATGTCCACCAAACTTAATTTCTAAGACATTTTTGTAGAGGAAGTTCAGAGTAGCTTTATTACATCACCCAACTTAAACGTATCACTGCCACCCAGATCGGCTGAGCTGCCCATAGCCAGCAAAGTACAGAAGCAAACCAAGAGGAAAGAACCAAGCTGTATGTCTTCAGGAGCAAAATCCAGAGTCTAAAATAGTAGGGAACGCCCACTCTTCTTTCTTCTGTACAATAGTGCTGTGTCCAGGACCAGGTGCATGGAGCCAGCGTGCAGTTCTGCTTACTGCAGAAGCCCCAGACAAGAGACTCCAGCATTGGATGGATCCTGGGGTCAGACAGACTGGTGTAAAGCAAGGGAAAACACTAGGGAGTGAGGCATGGTAGAGGGGAGTATCTCAAGGTATCCCTCTAGTCCCCAAAAGGAGACTACTGCAGAAGTACTTGGAGACTCTTGCCCAAGACCTCAAACTAAAAAGGGAAAGCCACCACACCCGTTAGGATCTCAATGCACAGGCAGCTGGTCCTGAGACTGCCTGCCACTCCCCTACTCCCTGCAGAGAACATAATGCATTGCTGGCACCAGGCTTGATGTGCAAAGGGCAGCTTTCTACAGTGAACCCACCAGGCAAATTCTCTGTAACTGCTTAAGGTCAGACCTGAAAATCCCTGCATAGGATTTTAACGTGAGCTGCCCTAATCAGCCACCGAGTATCACTGAAGTACCTTCCATACTTCCCTTTCCTTGTCCTCCGGCTTTTCTGGATGGGGTGGGGTGAAGGGCAGGGCTGTCACCCTGTGAGTCCTAGGGAGCAAACTCGGTCATCAGCCTTGGCTGTGGGTGCCTTTACCTGCTGAGCCATCTCAGTGGCCCATATTTATCATCTTTATGCCTGAATGCATTAAGTACATGATACCAGTGCTACTTCTGCTTGTTTTTTACACTTTTGCATTGATGACAAATACAGATACATCTGTTCTAAAGATGCTTTGTCACTCAGTATTTGGTTTCTGAAATTCATCCATTTCAGTAAAAAGAGCTTTGCTCCTGACCTCTGGCCAGTTCTGGAAACATACTGAGCGTATCCATCCTCTAGTGAAGGAGCAATGGAGTGTTTTGTCTTCATAGGCAGCTCTGCTGTAAACAACTCACATTTTACTCTTTAGCTTTCTTGTTTAGGCTGTATTCCAGAACTACCTCTTATATTGTATTTGCAAGGGGTTTACATCTTGTTTGTCAAGTGATAACTACTTTCTCCCAATATTTATTTTACAGTATCAATGGGTTTTAAGATTATTTCTGAACTGATGTTTTAGAGAAACATAGATGAATATGAAACAATTACTTCCTAGCTAACAAGTTGGCTAAATTTTCTAATTAAATCATTCAATAAGACAATTATATTATTCTCTTTAGTAGTGATAGAAACATCTTGAAGTCTAATGCATGTACTTTTGTTCTTTTTTTCTTGCTAGACTTTATGGACTGGAACTTCTCTCTCATTTTAAACAAAACCAAACGATGAAACCCAAACAAACAAACCAAGATAGATAGCATCTCACAGATTTTTAAAGAGGCAGTTTAAATCTTTAGCATGGAGTACTGTATCATTTGGAGCATGCACTCCTTGTTAGGGATGCTCTCATCTTTCCTGCTTTGCTAATAACTTTGCTTGGAATTTTAATTGTGGAACCATTTTGCTTGCCTTGTGACCCACACATAGCTTCTCCTTCCACAGTCTTGAAGGGCACTCATGCTCCATTAGTGGGTTGAGATCAATTTTCTTATGTTAAATTCCTGCTCTGCTCTAAGGATAAACTTTGCTTGATCATTTTGCATACTGCTTGATTTGGTTAATATTTCAGAACTTTACGTTTGTACTTCTAAGGTTGTATCTTTTTATCTGAATGTGTTCATTTTTATGTTTTCTGTTTTCACATTTGCTGTGATGCAGTTGTTCATAGTTTTTTTTTAATTATCTTACTATGTAATTATCTAACTATATCTGGTAGCTACAGATAATGCTGTCCTTGTGTTCATGTTATTTACAAATGCCCTTTTTAATTGTGTTTCTCCCAGCCTTGCAAGATTGTCAGTTCTTACTGAGTTACTGTGTCCTGACTTTGTCTCGTGTTATCCCCTGCTTAACTTTTTCTTTACCCCCTGTGGACTCACTCTTTTCCTTTTCTACTAAGATGATTCATACCGTGGTAACTTTTAACCTGTTTTTAACTGTATTATTTAAGGACATGAATTTTGCTCTCCTGTAAGTTTTTACCCTTGATTCCTAAATACTTCCACCTGAAATCGCATGTGATTTCGTGTTAATTGAACCTTCTTAATTAAAATGTTGTACAAAAACAGGTTCATAGACATGCTGGACATTATCTCGTTCTTCCATCGCAGAGCTCAGCAGCTTGTGTTACCCGCGCTGTGTTAGTAGGTCCCCTAAGAAGTTATGTCCCAGCTTAGTCTCTGATTTTGGTGAGATAAAGAGACAGAGTAGGGACAGGCGGTAGAGGGAGAGAAAGTGGGGAAAGGCACTTGTGGGGAATGTAAACATTCCTATAGGTACAGGTATTAATTTTGAGAGGGAACATATGACATTGTTATAAATTTCCTAGCCATAGCAGCTTACAACTGTTTTGAATTCATGCAGCCATAAAATCAGCTCATGTTTTCCATCATAGACATATTCCATGTAGCTTATGAGTATACTCTGAGCAAGCAGATGTCTTTTTAATCACTTTTTTCTCCCAAGAAACATA